GGACTTCTCCGTCTTCAGCATCGCGTGGAATGTGTTTCTGCTGCTAATGGGCTTACACTGGATGTGGAAGCAGATTACCAGGCCTCCTATCAGATGTATGGAGCGCCAACAACCAAAATCAAAAGCAGCAGCGAACCAAAGAGTTCCATTCCTCGAACCCGAGGATGAACCGCAGACGCGTGAACCTTTAGGACCCAACAGGGTCAATTCCGGAGAAACAACTGATCTGCGACCTATCTGGCATACTTCCCGAAGCGAAGTCTACCATCTCTCAGACAGCTGTTACCAGCTCAAGCAAGCAAGAGATGTTTGCAGGAAGGTGCTGTGCAAAAACTGCCTCCATGCAGTACAAGTTGCGGAGATTCGCAGGAACGATCCTTTTCAAAGAGGTGATACACGTCCACGTGGCACCGAAAGAGACATTGAGCGCTTCCAGACCTACGATGATGCAAGTACCACTCCTCATATGACGCAATTATTCAAAGATGCATTGCATGCACAAATGGCCGAAGAAGCCATGCAGATTACCTATACATCGATCCCCAAGGGATCCTCGGCAAAAGCCAAAGGTACATCTGCACTCTCAAGTGCCGCATCGTCGTCAGCGCCCAAGGCAATGCCACCAGTGCCTAACAAGGCAAACATGTCACCTCCACCTAAGAGTCCTCCGCCAAAGGCGAAAGGAACAGTACCTTCAGATCCTCCGAGACCAAAAGGTCCTACCAGAAGAGGAGGTCAAAATCGGCGCATTCAACGAAAGGCAGCTAGAGAAGCCCACAACAGTGGACTCTGCACCTATGCAGACGCTGCACTTAACGAAGCCAATCAAGGCCAGGCAATTAACATTACGTGCCGAAACATGGCAGCAAGACACGTCAGCTCTATCGATGCAACGGTAGAAGCAGCCGATCAGTTTACACAACGCGTGCTACAGCACGTAGAAACATATGATGAAGAGGAACCGTGGAGCACGGAGTTTCTACCAGTCGTGGAAGTCCTATTCAGGAACTTAAGCGGCGACGAAACAACTGTCATACATGACAATCAAACGGTAACTATGCCTCTTACGAAATACACAGACCTCCTCAGAATCGCACAATCACTGCGAAGCTCTATCCAGAGAGACAAGGAGGAAAGGAAGGAACATCTTGACACCATCCAAGATACTCTATCCAGAGTGGAAATCCTTCTAACAGCACTGAAGGACTCAAGGACAGTCTTTAACCAATTGGTCCATTCCTCACTAGAGATAGAGCGAAGAAATAACAATCTCAAAAATGTCCTCGAGACACTCTTTGACGACCAAAGCTCTGAGGAAGACCAGTCAGAATCTGACAATGAAGAAGTCCTAACTCCTTCTGCAGCACAGTACTGGAATAGCCTTTATGCCCACGCCTTATCTCCTTCAGGAGATGAAAGTGAAAGATCATGGGCGTCCTCAGACGGACAGCTTGAAAGAAGAAGGGCTGAACGGGCAAAGGCTAAGCAGCCACAACCGGCTAAAGCCAAGGCAACTCCAGTCAGCTCACAAGCTGCGCCAAAGGCCGAGCCAAAGGCGACAACATCCAACCATGGATATGATACTGCAGACGCCGCCTTCACCAGGGCTGAGAACAGACTACTCGGAATTTACTCAAGTTCCGAAGAAGATCACTCAGACCCGGATGAGCCACATCCGAACGTCTACGCTCGAGCCTATGATCCAAACCTGGATCCAAATCTGAGATAAGAAAATCTCGGAGTTTCACAACAGTGACTCACAAAGCTCTAACAAGAGCAAAGTGAAGGGCTGCATAATTCGATGTAGAAAATATCACCAGACATGATCTTGTACAGACGATCTCTCTGACCAATATGCATGAGTGTGTGCAAAAGGAGTGTCCTCAGCAGTGTACTTCAGTGCTATACCTAGCTTAAATAATATGCTGTTTTCATCATGAGTCCAGACTCCGCAACTGTGACAGTGGGCATAATAGTATATGTGTGAATGTGCGGCCATGCTTCCGGTAAAAGAAAATTAGTGTCTGTTTGAAACCATAAACCTCTAAAGGGGTAGCTCTAACAGGTACCTACAGCAATGGCTGCATGCTCATACATATACATTCCGCTGCCCATTGGCTCACAGTGGTTTTACCATATTGAGACAAGACAAGCTCTCCTTGCGTAGCAAGACAAAACAACTACTGTCCGTGTGCAGGGCGCTGCCCTTTGATCCTTAGGGAATAACTGGTCATACACCTCCTAACAAGGAGTATTCCTTGGTGGGTGTATCGGCACAGGGGGGGGGGGAGGGAGGGGGGGGAGGGGGGGGGAGGGGGGGAGGTGGAGGGAAGGGAGGCCTGGGAGGGGGGGGGAGGCCGACAAATCAGGTAAAATGAGGGGAAGCCGGGCAAGGGGGTGGCAAACGAACGCAAAAACAGGGTGTCACCAATCATTTCGACTGCAGGGAGGAGGATTAGGTGGAGGGTACCTGAGGTAACCACCAAAACGCCTGGGCCTCTGGCCTCGGCGGATTTTTGCTTAGGTGCTAGTTTTGGGCCCTAGGCACGTGCATGGATGGCTTGGCCGAAAGCTAGCAAGGAATTTCTCAGCCTCTGCTGGCATGGAAGGCATCCCAAAGCTGGACGGGGCCAAAGCTAGGCGATTTACCGATCCACAGTCCACAGCTTTGGGGCTTTGCCGAATCAGGTTCCCTGTCACGGAAGTGAGCAGAGGCAGAGGAGCACCGGAAAAGAGCAGGCGTGTAACTCGCCGACGCTGCGCTGCGGTGCGGGAAAAAAAGCAAAGCGGCGGAGCAGCGGCTCAGCGGGGGACGCGTCGCGCACGGAGCAGCTTCGCATCATCTACATCAGCGCATGCTTGCCTCGCCGCTCTCGCCGCTCTTCGCGGCGGCTCGGCTCAAGAGAAGCGAAGTCAAGCGGAAGCGCCGGCCAAGCGCCTCTGCCGGAGCGCTGTATACGTCCTGCGCGCTGCGGGCCCTTATAGGGGTCTTCGCCCTATAGGGAGAGGTGTGCTGAGGCGCGAGAGCAGCTGAGAGCTGCTCAGCTGAGGCGTCAGAAGATGGATTTCCAGAATCGTGTCGGTCACAAGTTCGGGACGGCAGGCCCGTTTGGATGGTGCTTGGAGTTTGAGCCCAGTGCCTTGCCTCCCGAGGTCCCGCAACTGACCAGGAGATCGCAGCAGACAGGCATGTCGGCTTGTGTGGCCGCGGCCAGCAGTGAGTGATTGCGAGAGGCGTGAACGGCTTCGCAAACTTGCTCTGGAAACCATTGACTTGTCCAAGGAGCCCTGGCCGGAGAAATTAGCATTATCCAGCCGGCTTGCTTGTATTCTGTTGCCGATATGCAAATCAAGTCTCTGAGACTCCTCACCTCCACAAATTTCTACAAGAATGTATACATGGAGCATTTGAAGCTTCGCAAAGTTGCACTAAAGTTGCACTGTGTCGGTGCCGGTCCACAGTCTCGCCGCAATCAAAGCATGCGGTAATATCCGGTATCCCAGGACCCCTATTTCATGCGCAACCACCTTGGCAGCTATGAGTGCAAGTTGTGCCTGACGCTTCACACGAACGAAGGCGTCGTGCAGGGGCTGTATGGCAACGGCGACATAATATGCCGGTTGCTGCCAGGAAGCTACCTTGCGCACACGCAGGGCAAGAAGCACCAGATCAACCTGGCCAGACGAGCCGCGCGCGAGAAACAGGCTTTCAAGCAGCATGCAGTCAGTTCGACGGTCACCGTGCGTTGACAATAACTCAATAACAAGCTCCCCCCCAGGATGCAACGATCCAACCCCAGCCGCAAACATCTTCAGGACTGGGAGTGTCTGATCAGAAAGTCGACAGCAAGTATGCAAGTATTGTAGTTCCGACAGGACCTCGGAAGACGGTAAAGATTGGGCGGCCCGGCTACCGAGTGACAAAGGCCGTTTGCATGTGTTGTTTGCACGACCTCTGCCAACGTCGCAACGTGCAGGAGCGCGACCCGGAAACACAGCAAAAGGCCTTGCTCTTCGAGGTGGAGTATCCAGAGGCCAGAGGACTGGAACGACAGACAGAAGTGAAAGATATTCTCAGAAGTGTCGTGACATAAGACTGAGCGGTCTCGGAAGCGGAGGCCTTGGAGAGAGTGAAGCCTCGGCACCGCTTCATGTCTGCCTACGAGCAGAAGGCGGGTAGCCCTAGGGCAGAGTCTTGCGGCATGCGCGATTGTTCGTAGCATTGCCCGCATGGCTCATCGTCAGCACCGCAGGTGGAACCGCCTGAGGTCGGTCGTTGCACTCTCGGAAGCTCTTTGAAACCGCTTGCACTCTCTGCACTGAGTCCAAATTCCAGTACCTGCTCACGGCCTGCGAGCCTTATGAAACGATCGCATTCAAGGCCATCCTAGGCCGATGCCCGGCGAGGCCAGAGAGCGGCACACTGCAGGTTCCGAACATGGAGATTGACAAGGCCGAGAACAAGTTCTTCACCAGCTGGGATCCGCAGCGGAAGGTCTTCACCATGCAGGCATCATGCCGGCACGCTAGTGGGAAGGCAATTCAGATGCCTTTCTTTTCGGCTAGATCTTCTTCAAAGATCGCGAAGAGAAGGAGCTGCCGGTGGAGCACCCAGAAAAAGATGGGCGTTTGAGCAGAATGCCCGCTGTGCGCCACGCCGAGGCTTTGCCCCAGCGACCTGGGACCACGAACCTCGCATTCCACGGCCGGTCTTTTGCAGAGAGACTGAGACCTAAGCCAGGCAACATCTGATTTCTGAGCTCTGCGCAGGTGGTGGTGGCTTTACACGCTGAGGGCTCTAAAGGGAACGGTGTCACAGGAAACGCCCGCAGTTCTGGCAGAAAAAACATGAGCGACTGAGCATGGAAGAACTTCTCGTGCTGGCGCCAGTCCACAACCCCGTCGTGCCTTCTTCTCAAGTCAAGGAATCAAGGAACAGGACTCCAAAGACAGCTTCAAGCCGAGACAGCACAGTCCAGTCTTGAAGCCCTGGACCGGCCATGGGAAAGATCGGCAAGTCGTCGAAGGCTAGGAAGCAGACCTTTGGCCATGCTGCTTGGCCTGCTTGGCTGTTGGGCAACTGGCTTAGCTCTGACTCTGAATCGCACACTGGCCGCAAAACTGAGGTGGTGCCTTTGGGTGGCAGCTGTCTCATCGCCAAACATTTGCAGAACAAGGGCATTCGAGTTTGCAAGTTCCCGTTCGACTGGATGTACTCCACCCCATACTTGGTGCGGCATGCGCTGCTGGACGACTTCAAGACTTTTCTGGACACAAGCAAGTGCCCTTGGAGAATGAATCGAACACAGCATTTCCCCACATTACATGTTGTCGCAGTCCAGCACGTTGGCGTGTAGCGAAGGTGTCAGCGTGGCGCTGGACAATCAGAGGAGAAGTTGGGCACCATACACACAGTTTATCGCCGAATGCAGTCCACCAAGGCCTGGACGGAGCAGCCTTGCAAGACTGTGACACGGACATGTGCAGACATGGGCAGAGGCGAAGAACGTGGTCTTCCCACACCATCAGCTGTGGTCCGGGGCGAAGAATGGAAGGCGCGACCGCAGCTCCTACCGGCGCTCCGTCGAGCGCCTGCGGCGGGTCCTGCGCTCCAAAGTGCGGACGCTCTTCATCACTGCCATGGACGCAGAGGCGAAAACCTTGCCGATCCTTCAGGACGAGGCCTGGCAGCCCGGCCAGGCACTGCCTTGCGGGGGCCCGGAGCTGTGCTGTCGGGCAGAGGTCTTAAGGCTCTTCGAGTGCTTGAAGAGCAAGAAGAAGGGTCCCTTCCACCTGGAGGTTGTCTACCTGCTGCGACACTCTCGCAAATGCCGCAAGCAAGTCGTCCTTCAAAAGAGGACGAAGGACAGATCATTGAGAATTTCCGAGATGTCCTGCAAAGGAGACCACACTGGTCTGGCATTTCGGGAAGATGGAGATATGTTGGCCTTTCACAAGCTCATCACAGATTCTTCTTGCCGCAGCTTGATCTGCGACCACGACATCACACGTTACACCGTGAGCAATCTGAGAGTTTGCGAGCATGTTGTGTGCCCAGGACGCTTCAAGCCTGTTGTCCTCGATGCAAACGGCACCAAAGGCTACCGTGATAAAGGAAGCACAGAGTCGAGCCCCCTTGGCGCAGCCAGGAGCTCCGGCTCCAGAAGAAACTTGCTTCAGAATTGCGAACACATGGAGAGCCGGAGAGGGTAGGACTGCATGTGACAGCACTCCTCCGCATTGGCAGAAGTCTCCCAAGGCGACTTGAAGCGCAAGCTACGATTTGTCCAGAAGAACCCGAAGGTGAAGGGGTCTGAGGCGCACAAGAGATACGAGGTCCGGGTACCGAGTGAGTGCTTTGGACTCACAGTGCCGTCTTGAAAGCTTGGGAGGTCTACAAAAAAGCGCAGACAATTCAAGAGTTCCTGAACCTTGGCGGTTTCAAGGGGGACTTGGCCTTCGACCAAGCACATGGCTTTCTCACACTCTTCTAGCTGAGAGCCCTCTTCTGACAGACTCACATGCAGGGAGACTTGTGAAAGACTGACATGAGCAGCAGTCCAGTCCGGGAGGAAGACTTGTCATCCCGTTGATCGGGAAGCTTCGAAACGTGATCATACCTCCATTGTCTTGTTGAGCCCATGCTTGGGGAATGCACTGCATGCGTTCCTAGCCTGTGCTCGTCTGCGATCTCTCTCCCTCCCCCCGCCCTCCCGCTTGAACTTGAACATATTCAAGAAGGAAGACACCGAACCCAACAGAGCGGTTGCCAGCCTACAGCCTTTTCTTGTTTATTTGCATGTTGGCCGTTTAGGTGTCCCTCGAGTTGAGAGTTCTCGAAAACTGAGTTTCGTGGCATCAAATCGTGGTTGGAGCTAAAGACACCTCCAACAGATGTGACATCGGCACCCTCGGCACCCTAGGCACCCTAGGCCTGAAGCATCGGATATCTTGGTCTTGGAACGCCACGTGGCTTGGAGCACAGGACAGCTTGGCTTGCAATGGAGCACAGGACACGCGTCTTTTCGATCCTCTTTTCGTTGCGTTTCGCCTGTCTGAGCCGGTGGGCGGTGCGGCCGCATCCTGCCGCACCCTGCAGTCCCCAGGCTCTCTTTCATTTGCCTGTGTCGGGGGGTGGCTCTCTCTGCAAACGCTGGTGTTTTTGTCCACGTGCCTGTAGGCACACGGTTTTTCCTCCTCTTCTTTGTGCGCGAATTGTATGTTTTGCAGCACCCGAGCACGCCACGAAGCGCAGATCTTAGCATTGCGACACCATCTGTGGCGAAACACACATCCAACAAATCGCTTATGGGCGCTGAGCGGGGGGGGCATCCTAGTACCATAGACCATGCAAGGGGGGGACCACGGAGCGCTTGATCGTATATCAATGTATATCAAGCGACGGGTCATTTCTGGGGTACTCGCGGCATCGGAAATAATCTTGATGAGTTCCAATATATCCAAATAATCACGATAGGAAATTGATATTAGAATCATTAGAATACTCGAAATTCAAGATATTACCTGTCTTCTTTGCGGAAATTCATCGTAACTTGTTATAACGTCTTTATAATAAATTCAGACGATTTTTATAATATAACATAATATAATATAACATAATTATATATATATATATATGGTCACCCCCCCCCAAGATCTACACCCGCCTCTTCTACGCGATTCCACAGATTGCTTTTCTATATTGGTCGACTACTCATATATATACCGAAAGCACCGTAAATATCGATATAATCGTGTTTTATCTCATATATATATAAATCGTGTTGCT